TCTAGGCTTACTGTATTTCTATTGTGTTTTCCAATTTTGTAACCGTGTCAAATATATATATATATATATATATATATATATATATATATATATATATATATATATATATATATATATATATATATATATATATATATATGACAGAACTGCGACATCACGCACTTAGAGCACGGCCGCATGCTCCAGGACGAAAATATTCAAATGCACTGTAATGTATGTCAGTCCTGAGTGGTCCTTTATATGCAGCTGATTGTGAAAGGAAAGAAACTCTATACACATTTACTTTATTTTAAGATGGAAAAGGTTATTATACAATATTATTGAACAAACTGTTGTAGTGAGTTCTTCTCTGTAATTTATCTTTTTTTTTTTTTTTTTTTTTTTGTTATCTCCGGTTTTTAATGATTAATTTACTTTGCCCTTAAGAAGAAAGACATTAAGATAGTATCTAGCATTTTGTAAACGAAAACAAAACAAAAAGGGTATATATATATATATATATATATATATATATATATATATATATATATATATATATATATATATATATATATATATATATATATGTATGTATATGTGTGTGTGTGTGTGTGTTTATATTTCTGTTGAATATGTACGTCCTTTGTCCTTTGTTTAGCTGTCAGAACGGATGGACCTACTTGAACTTGGACTTCCGGAGATACACGTCTTGGAATTGATTTATTTATTCTGTCTGCGCATGCTTTCTCAACGCTGACTGATAGCAACACCATACTAGGCTTCCAAAATTTGTAATATAGCTTCTATGCTATTGACAAAATATTGGCTATAGCATAAAAATAGTACATTAAACCTACCTTTGCAAGCAGGAGCCTCACTTCTGTCATTACTTGGGAAGCCTTTCATGGAATCTCCCTCTCGGATTATGTTATGACAGAAAAAAAATGTTCATGAGAACCTTATGAACAGAATGATGCAGTCTAATAAAACAGAGCTCGGTTTCAATAACAACGGAACCGAGGATTTTGACTGCAGACGTGCATTTTTGACAACATGCCCCATGTTTGTTTGGCACAGCCCCGCCTGGTCTATACAGTAAACCCACTTGTTCTGTATTCCCTAACCAAAGCGAATATGAGCCAAGTCAATTATTAACTATTCAATGACACACCGTGAAAAATACAAAGAATACATTTACGCACTGGCCGCTTTTACGCATTCATCAGTTTTACGCATTGGCTAGTTTTACGCATTGGTCAGAACTTAATTGTAACTTGATTGAACAATATATGAGTAGCAGTTAATGTTGCACTGCAGTGTACAGCAAAGCACAAGTCAAAATTTGGCCGCATATTTTAAGTGTTTGCCTCTATCCATTCATTAAGGTGTAGTGCGGTGTTTTGAATATTTTAAATCGCTAGCTGTTTCAGAGGTTAATGTTAAAATTTTCATGAAAATAGCTATGGTTGTTATTCTATTTCCTGTACGGTTTTGTCAATAAAGGCGTCTCTTGTGACTTTTACCTCAGAAGATTCCATTTTTATGCACCAGCTTAATATGAAAGCAATGCATATAATTTAGGTGAAATAAAAATAAAATATCTGAGCGTTTTGATGCTTCCTTGTTGAATGGACTACCAACTTAGGTGGGTTATAGATATGATGTGATCCTTGCGCAAATGTCGAAGCTTGCTGTAAACTCGTTAAGTTAAACGCAGTCTGGTTTCAGCTGGGCGCACTACCTGCAGCTGTCAATTTGTGGATCTCGGCGCCTGCTCCAGCGGTGTGTGCTAAGGAATTCACTTCAGGTGAGCTTAAATTTACTCTTAAATGAACAATCATGGTGAAATAGCGTATGTGAATGGGAAAATTAAAAAACTAATGCAGATATTACGATTATGTAATGTAAGTTAATATAGACTATTTAGAATAAAACCCAGAGCATTATTATGTTGCCTGTGAGGCATTGAATGTTATTCAAATTACGTGTGTCTTGCAGAGTGAGCTCTGAAATGTGCTAGTTGCAGGTAGACTGCAATTTGTTTGGGGATGGATGCCCTCCCATCCCCCATGCACTCACTGTGTTACGACCTGTCTGAAAGAACATCATCTCTGGTTGTCAAGTTATTTACAGCAACTTGTCATGGCTCTTGTCAAATTGTTGAGGGACTATTTCTAAGTTCAGAAATGATTCAATTTCAAGTCTGAAATGTGGTCTTTTACGCACCGCTCACAGACAAAATGTGAATATGTGGATGAGGTGCTCAAATGGATTTCATTTTCTCCTATAGTTTAGCTGCATGAATATTTAAACGAGTCCATCGAGTTACCGAGTAATATCAGCGGAACTCGTGATTGCATTTTAAGGAAGGTCGTTTGAATGTGAAATCTTGTGTTTTAATGTTCCAAAGCGAAATACTTATTTTAAACTTTTCTCTTTTAATTGAAAAAGAAAGAGTTAAACCAATAGAAGGTTTGAGTAAGAAATATCACATTGCGTAAATGTTTTTAGGCTACTGGCACAATCTTCCGTCGCAGTCATATCCATTGGACATATTAAGAACAAATAAAAGGCCAAATAAAAAGTATGACACACTATTTGGATTTAAAGTTAAGTCCACAGTTTCGTAACATATTCTACTGTGACTGAGTGAGAACATACAATGAGTCCAGAAGCAATTTTGATGCATGCAAAGCGTGTGTTTTGAATATCATTCTGACATTTTTTTTTAAATTTACAAATACAAATTACTTGTTTAACACTTAATTTTCACCTCACCCAATTCCCCTAATACCAACAACAGAAAAACATGCACATTAGGACATTTTTAGTGAGTTACACATCTGACTAAATTCTAAATCTAAATTCATGAAAAAGAAATAATTATATGGTTATGGCCATTACTAGTCTATTATATAGTTTGTCGTAATAGCATGGATCCACTAGCACGCGATTCCCCCTCCAATATATCGAATCTGTACACTGTCCCCATTTTGACAGTCATCGAAACTGGTATAAATTGAAATGGAAGAAGTTATTCTGACTAAAAAACAATTGTTTTGGGAAATGTGTGTTCCCCTCACGTTGCAAAAAGTCTTTAATACAGCCAAGAGAACTACATTATTTGCTATTACACACGCAGCAATTATTTTAGGGTAAGGGTCTCCAAATAACTGCTAGTATGCATGCATACACTAGTGTGAAGTTCATTCTTGTCTGTCTAGACTCTGATTACGACCCTGTTTGTCTGCGTTTTTTACCTTGACCTTGGACTTCCGTGCAGCTGCCGTTTGGACGAGTCTTTAGCTGTTTTCTTCGAGACAAAAGAAGTATAGGGTCTTTGTAAAAAAGGAAAGGGTCAAATTTCCTTTGACTTGAAAATACACGTAGATGGCCTGGTTATTCACAAGTTATTTTGGAAAATGTTGAGGTGTATAGGCCTATACAGGGCTATGCTGTTGCCGAATGTACAGGCATTTCTATAGTAGGTCCCCCTTCAGCGATAACTAATCTAAGTTAAAAAAAAAAACTAAAAAAAAAAAAAATAAAAATTTGAAGAATCCATGGCCCCTCTTCAGGCTACATAAAGTATCATGTTTTATTAATTAAGGCTTTTATAGTTTGATAGCCTATAGTCCTTGTATGGTAAGGAATTCAAAGAGCCTTAGCCAAAGGATTTAGTTAAACACTAAACGGTCGATTTGTGACCAGTAATTGTTGATGGTTCTGTGAAGTCGGGCGAGTGGCAGGAATCTTGGAGAAACGTAGGCAACGTGTTGCCACCAGCTCACTATAGGCTCTGCACTCCTTACCACCACAGCTCAAAGCATTGTGTTGTTCTTATATTTATGTTGCACACACTCAGACTATCACATGGTACTTTTAATGCATTGTACCATGTTCTCATTACTCAAAAGCTTTTGGGTCTTACCTTAATCCTGTATTTGTTTTGGAATAGTGCTACTAGTGCATGAAGTAAATATTGCTATATTTATCGGTGCTATTATTGACTTTTATTCACTAAAGCTTTATACAAAGCTTGCATTGGCATTGCGGCAACATTTCCGTTATTTTGCACTTTTACGCACAACCTCAACCTTTTGATCGGAAAAGTGGTGTTGTTTAGATCGAAATTATTTGTTTTCTTTAATGGACATTAATCCAGTTCATTTAGTATAATTATGCTACTGGGGAGATATATGACCATGTTTTAAAATATGCTTTTAGTTTTAATAAAAAAAAATTACATACAAAATGTTCCGGAGAGGTTGTGCGTAAAGGCAAAATTGGGTGTATTATGTTCAACATTATTTTTTGTTTATTATTATTATTATTATAACCCCGAGAAAGTAATTAGTAACGACGAGTTAAGAAAAACCTGTATCCATATTTGTCCCTAACTGGAGCCACTGATACAGCAACAAAGTTCAAGAGCCAAATAGAACAATCTATGTGCCGAGTAAAAATATATAATAAATAAAGCTATTTTTTTTCCTCCAAACTAAATAAACACGTCTAACATGAGAAAGATAAAAGATAAAATGTTAAAACACATTTTAGTTAGATTAAAATAATAATAATAATAATAATAATAATAATAATAATAATAATAATAATAATAAAATAATGAAAATAGAAACCAACAGTACAGATTATTTCTTAATAACTTCTTTCTCTTTTAATATATATATGTATATATACATATGTATACTCCGGCTGAGAGCATTATCTTGCCTGTCAACCATCTAGGTTTTGTCGGCCAAATTTCAATGGTTGTTTTCGTTTCTCCTAGTGAAGTCTCTAACTCCCCTTTAAGGGTGTGGGTCTGTGAGGTTTGAGCCAATAGCGTGACTTCGTGTTCTGCGGGAAAAACTGTGACATGGGAGCCACTGGTTCTTTAAAGGGCTGCTCGGCTCCGTCTCTCAAGCCCAATCTCGTAGAGTTTGTTAGCATATCACGTGCCAGATTCTTAATGAAGTGGACACACGAGGACCTCTTGTGCGCATGCGCTTGATGTAAAATGTAGTTGGAAATGAGGTGTCCGTCTTGGAGTAGTCGACTTTTAAAAAGCATCAGCAGCCCCTGATATGACGACTTCGCTAGTTCTGCATCCACGCTGGGCGGACACATTGATGTACGTTTATGAAAAAAGCCCGAATGAAAACGGCCAGAATAAAAGTCAAACAATGGAGGGACTGAGCGGTAATTGCCCTGCGACCCACTGCAGGGATCTGATGTCGCACCCTGCTCTGGGGCGACATTCTGGCACCATCGCGACCCACCAGAGCTCCGTCTACTCGGATATTTCTTCTACAGACACCGGGCGACAGTGTCCAGCACCACAAACATCAAATGCATCTTTGAGCTATGGTTATCCATTTGGAAATCCATACTATGGTTGCAGATTGTCTCATTCTCACAACGTTAACTTGCAGCAGAAGCCTTGCTCGTACCACCCAGAGAAATACGCGGAACCAAGTACGGCGCTACCTACAGAAGAACTGTCAACCAGAGCCAAAGAGTTCGCATTTTATCCCAGTTTTGCCAGCTCTTATCAAGCTGTCCCCGGATATCTCGATGTGTCGGTGGTACCCAGCATAAGCGCCCACCCGGAGCCGCGTCACGACGCCTTGATTCCCATGGAGGGCTACCAGCATTGGGCTCTCTCCAATGGTTGGGACGGGCAGGTGTACTGCTCCAAAGAACAAACACAGTCAACTCATCTTTGGAAATCTCCATTTCCAGGTATGAATAAAGCGCTCTCATTTTCTTTTGTCAACAGCACACATCCCGTCAGTCATTGGGCTTTACAAGCAGTCTACCTGTGCCATCACAATCTAAAATATATATGTCAAACCTCACAGCTACTTTTTAACTGCAAAGATGCTTTCATATGTGTTTTGTGTGTTACCATTTTAACACAGCCTTACAAATTACTATTAGCCTATATCTTAGAGTAACTGCATATGCTGACATATTCTGTCACCATAATACAACATGGATAATCATGTGAGGTTTAAAAACAATTTCATACTCCGGGTAATAAAGTTTGCGTGTTTGCTTGCCTTGCGCATTATATTGACTTTTTTTTTGCACTATATTAAACAACTGATCTTAACCACTGCTCGTTAAAACCAAGCAGGTTTGTCTCTTAACTGTAATTGTTATTGCAATATTCATAATATCTAGAAATAGTTAGCACAGCCAGTATGTTGTTACAAGTGTTTATTGGGCTACTTCTTTTACCGCGCGACTTTATTATCTGTGTGGATCTCGAGCTATTTTAATTTCAGATCAAGAAGCTCCTAGACCTTGACTGAACCTCACACACAGGGTATGGCCTTCTTTTCTGAAAACACACTCAGGCACGGGCACAAAAACAAGCACGCGCAGTCACGTGCACAAATGTCAGACGCGCGCTCTGATTGCCAGATTATACCGGCACACTGCATCCTAATAATCCCACTAGCCCTGTATTTGGTATTCACAAAATGATATTCTACTTTGGCACTAATTGTGACGTTATTAATTACGTTCATATAATGACAGGAATGGCCTACTATAAAGTGTAGGCTGAAAATTACGCATTTTATTGTAGACTACATTTCTCACTTTTTCTGTTATCATAGCCTAGCCAGTTTAGTGGGTGTAAAACCAGGCATCAATCCTATGAGATTTAGACCAGTTTTACCTAAATTAGTCATTAGTGACTTGATATATTTTACGTTAGGAGTCACATAGACCCAGATTTGTGCATTATTAGCCACAATCTTTGCCCGTACAGTACACAATATTATTATTAATAATAAACGATTCACCGAATAAATCCTACACTAACTCATATTTAAAAGGAAATTATTAAAATGTAGGCCTACTGTGGTATCAAAATCTCAATAGGCCTATCAGGTGCACAACACCTGAGACCCCGTATACGCGCCAATCTTCGTAGAGTTTAATGTAATCATATATAGTCTTTATGGTTATAATATCAATAAATCTGTATGAATTTGAAGTGATCTTTTCTTATTCTACATCTTATTCTTCTTATTCTACAGATGTTGTGCCGCTGCAGCCTGAAGTCAGCAGTTATCGCCGAGGACGTAAAAAGCGTGTTCCTTACACTAAGATCCAGCTAAAGGAGCTGGAGAAAGAGTATGCAGCGAGCAAATTCATAACCAAAGACAAAAGAAGGCGCATTTCGGCCGCCACGAACCTCTCAGAGCGTCAGGTCACCATTTGGTTTCAGAACCGACGAGTCAAGGAAAAGAAGTTTGTCAGTAAATCCAAGAGCAATCACATGCACTCCACCTGAAGCTCCTGAAAAAGCTAATGATTTCCCCTCCAAAATATCTCTGCATATATTTACCTCTTGTATATTAAATTGTTGCTGAAAAAATATCATTTGTAGCACACTTTGCCCTAATTTAAAGTAGGTCCTACATCGTGTGAGTGACCACCGCCCAAATGTTTTCGGTGTAGAGATGCTTCAGCAAGAACTGTGAAAATCACAAAACAATTCGTCACATTTGTTTTTTATGAATGTACATATATAAATATATAATATTTAAAACAATATCTGTATTTCAAGAACAAGCATTGCGCGTTTTCATGTATTTTTAAGCCAAATTGTCAAAGAGACATTCTTTGATAAGTCATTTTTAAGACTTGCAACGTATTGATGTCATTTAGACAAAAGATGGTCTTGTAAAGAAATCTGTTCTTGTTGCTGTGTAGTTTTAAGATAACAACTCGCTGTAGGAATCCGGCGATTTTTATTTTCTAAATGAGCTCATCAAAACTGTGGAGTATAAGCCTGGGGTAAATCTAAGGCTGCTATATTGTTTATCTGTACAGTGCAATGCCTTTATTTAATTCATCCTGTATTATCTGAAAGTGAAATATGCATCTGTATGTTTTCCTTTGTCAGTGAAGGACTCTTGTGCATCTGGAATGATTGTAAACCATGTAAGTCAGTGAGTATTACAGTGCAGCACAATCGTTTTATTTTTATTTTCTGGTTTTGCGCGCCTTGTATGAAGCCTGTCATTACTTTGTCGCAGTATGTGAACTGTATTGTGGTGTTGAATTACGTCCTGGTTACTTGTTTCATAAATAAATGATGATGCTGAATTAACATATTTGAGTGAATAATTGTCTAGGCTGTACGCAACATTTCCTGTTCAAAGTAAAAGCTCTTTTGTCTGACATCCTCAACGTGACTTTTGAAGAGAGAGTTTTTTTATTTGCTAAATTAGTCTAGGCCTAAATTAAGCAAAAATATCCAAAATGATCAACTATTTGTGACATTCTGGAGCCAAGGAGTGCATGCGATGAGACTTGGCATTAACTGGGAGTTACTGAGGCCTACCTTTTATTCGTGTTTAAGATGTGACATTTACAGGAAAAATTTGCTACATTTGTGCGCACTAATTTCAACTAGGAGTTAAGACATGACGCATCATTTTCGTCCGAAGGAGCAAAAGTATCAATCTCAAAATGGGGAAAAGGCAGAACGGTGTAGGACAGCCTGAATATTGTGTCGTCGCCTTCTAAATTAACAAATAGCCGACTAATTTTAACAACAGGAATATAAAGGCTATTTCTAGAGAGAAGTTGTACTGTTATATAGTTAGTCTATATGAGTATAGCCGCACTTAAGACACGGTTTAGAGTAGGAATGTGTAAAAATTTTGGAATATATAACATAAAATTTAATCCGGAGATATTTAATTAAAATGGGCAAATAGATTAAATTTGTAGTTTAAGATTTAAGATGTGAGTGTGGCAATGTAAAAATCTGCTCCACTCTGGAAGAGTTCAAAAATATTGCAAGTTAATATCTAATATTTCACTTTATACTTTTTATTCTAACTTATATACATATTGTATAGGCCTATATGCAGAGAACTAGAAAGCTGTCCCAGGCAACCATTTTGCCACCTTTGTGCCCTGGGTTCTCGTTGAAGAAAGTTTAGTTTGCCCGGTGCTTTCTCAGTTGTGGTCTGAAGCTTACCCTTGACCATGACTATGCAGTCACTTTGACCTTGACATCAGCAGATTGTGAATAATAAAAAGTGGGCCGGACACCCATGCCGGCGGTTTGTTTGTAGGCAAACAAGGTGTTATTTGGCTGTCTAGACAGACAGCCTAATGGCATGTCATAAATGCATAAAGAAAGGGAAGTGATATAGTTTAGTCGCATTTCTGTTTACATCCTATAGCTGGACATTAACATTTGAACTTTTTTTTTTTTTTTTTTTTTTTTTTTTTTTTTGCTTTTGCAGATAGTCCTGTAAAAGTTGCCCTGGCCCATAATTCGGGAAGCGCCAATGACCATCACGAACTGTGTTATTGAGCCGGAGGAAAGGTAGGACTTTGACGTTTCAAACCGATACCACTGTCGTCATTTGGCAGGCGCACTGGTCATAGAAGAGGAAATGAAAACACCACTGCACCCTCAACTCTCACAGGTATGGCCTTTTCCCTTCAATCCAAGGTGTGTGAATCAATCCAGGAGAACTGCTTAGACTTTGATATAGCCTGTTGATAATTAACGCAGCGTCGATTAAAACTAACATTATCCTACCGAGAAATCTTTGTTCAAGTCGACTATGTCTTGCATTTGCATAAAATCTCAAACAGCTCATATACACCATGCACGAATGTCCATTTATCTTTCGAAAATCACTGTAACGCGCTTTAATTTGTGTCATTCATTTACTTCTACCACACTCATGTAAGGCTTATGGAACGGAAAACTTAGGGCATAGCTAAGTAGAAACTATTTCATCATCGTATAGGCTATTCTACATTTCATCGATGAAGCACATGAGACAAATGTAGCCAAAGTAAACGTTTCATTAAAAAATAAAGAATAAAAATTAATAATAAAAAAAAAAAAAAATACACAGAAAATGCAGCTGAAGCCTAAGTAAAGTAGTTGAGTATGAGGCAGCAGGCCACGGAGCTGCATGAGACAGGGGGCTGATAACCTCTGCTGGTGACCAGAGGAAAATATCAGGAAGTACTCTGCTTGAAGACTGGACTCAGGGTATTTATGCTTACGCGCATTCATGCTCACCTTATCACACTTTTAGCATTACTATGAATCATGTTAGCCTAATAGACTACTCTTTTTACTGTACGACTATTAGGGTGCCATCACCACTACTATTACTACTACTACTACTACTAATAAAACTTTTTGTACTATACGACTACGCTAATATGGTACTGCTATTGCAAATAATAATACCAGCCTAACTGTAACCATTAACCCAACAAAATAATGCTGTAGTTGTTTTGTTGTACTTTTTGCTGTATTTAAATTTTCGTAAACTATTTTATAGGCTATAGCATAGAAAGCACAAATGCTGCGTCCTACATGTGATAGAAATTAAACCGCCCATTTGATGTGAGGCGAATAAACGCGATTCAACATCATTCATAAGTCACCATGTCGCTCTACATATAATTTATTTTTTATTACAATGGACAACGGATTGCGAGCATCTTAACGCAATGCGTTCAGCCTTAAATAAATACATAAGTTAAATAAAATTAAATAAACAAATAAATTATACAAAACACACAAAACTAGACTATATCAACACGCTTTTAAAAAGTTACACTTTATCCAATTATGAATAATTTAAATGCAGGAATTGCTCTCTGCAGAGCAATTTAAATATATTTGTTTCACCTTTGTTCTTTGCATGTAGCGTATGGATGCTTTTGATTTCATTATACTATTGAAGAGCGAATTATAAATAGGCCTACATATAAATAAATAAGTGAAAGATCATTTTAAGTGGGCGTTTGGATTTCTCTTGTTGATGACTGGTTTGTCGTCCTTAAGTAAGCTTTAAAAGCTTCTTAAGGCTATAAAGGTGGCAACCTGCCTGCACAGACTCAATGGGAGAAAATGGGAAAGAAAAGCTCTTTGTTTGCGCTATTGCTCTGTCTGGACAGCACCAGTGAATTCCACAGGGGTAATCTGGAGTAATATGAGGCAGGCGCTGTGGACTAGACAGTGACCTTGACAGTTCACCCTCTACCTGCAGTGCATTTTGTCTCTAAAGTAACGAAGACAAAAACTAGCTATGGGTGGCATTATCATGGCAATAACAGACAACATACGCAGAATGCAACAAAACTCTAAATGAAAATGGTAGCTGAGCGCTGATACCAACTGACAAGGTACGGAAAGAGTGAAGGGGACGCACATGGAGCAGCCCATATCGCTTTAAACATTCCATATTTTGGGGAGAGCAAACTTCCATACTAATGGACTGTGGTCACGTCAACTAGGCTAGTGCAGCAGTGCTATCAAATATCGTCTGTGTTGCAAATGTTTCTCAAACCAATATTTAAATGAATGCTAATGTTCTCACATAACGCTACATAGGCATACCAGAGGTACGCCTACAGCATTTTCAATGCACATGCGTGAGGTGTGCATGTGGCCACAAGCGGCCACGAGAAAACAAAGATACAATTAGATTACTACATTAAACATTCGTATATTATCCTTGTTATCTAAAAAACAGGCTTATCTTTTTAAATACATTTTATCTTTTAACTGGAATTAACTAGTAACTTAACCAGTGATTAACCAGTGTGTAAACACTAAAAGCGTACATCTTTATTTATTTATTTATTTATTTATTTATTTGGATAGTTCAAAAGTTAAGTTCATGGCTGTGCCTGTTTCTGAAGCTGAATGGTAGATTCTGCACAAATATGATTACATGTTTTGTTTTTACATAATAGTCCGTTTTACGCAATTCTGCGAAATGACTCAAACACTCTCTCAAAGACAAAATAGGCCTCAATTCCTCATAGACATTTGGTATGTTTGTAATTATTGACGGTTTTTGGTGACAATTTGCGCAAATGCAACTGGAATGGTGGGCCTTTATTTTATAGTTTTCCTTTGCACTTGCTATAAAGAACAATTATTTTGGTGTGCTAGTTAGGTAGCTAATTTTGATACCAAGAAAGAAACGCTTTCGGCAGAATGCCAGATTGCGTACTAACGTTTTCGGAATAAAATCAGTTGGATGAAAATGCATGTGCGTAAATACGCAATTGGGAAATTGTTGGCTACATAACCTGTACAAATCAACTAATTGTCGCCAGGTAAATCAACTCGTTGTGTGTGAGCTGATAGAATCAGTATAGTGCCCTCAGATATCTTGTAAAATTCACATAAAAGAATTGTGAGATGTATAACAATCCCAGCAGAGTTTGGCTGTGAGCGTTTATTGGAGTTATCTGTTAAAGTTGTTCATGTGAGGTGTATTAGAGAGTATAATGTGAAATAGACCCTCTTAAAGTTGCCTTGTAGAATCCCGTCCTGTTTTACAGAGCCACTGGTTCAACCTGCTGACCTTCTTACTGTAAATACTAGAAGAGTGCGGCAATGAGCACCAGTCTTTTCTTAAAACAAGCTTGTAAAATTTGTACATTGCAGCTTTATATGACATCAAATACACCTATAATATGCACGAAATCAACTTGTCACACACACATTTACTTCAAGAAAAACAGTTTTAATAAGAAATCGCATTTTAAAAACTTGTCGGTTTATAAAGGGTTTAAAGAGGCCATGGACAGTTCCTGCAGTGTAAAGAGACACAACTCTGGCTCAAACGGGCTAAGCATGAGTCAAGTGAGGAAAACACGCTTCAACATTTTTAATAAAAGCTTTATGGTATTTTTAAAAAGCATATAAACCTCAGTAATACAGAAGTTAATGTTTTGTTTTGTCTGAGATGGACAAAGTGGGTGGTTCCATTTGTAACTGAGGTTCGCCTTGTCACGTGGTTAAAACTGACCAATCAGGCGCCCCTCCAGGTTTAACTATGTTAAATGTCAGATTGCAATAAACTAGAAGCTGTTGGTCGGGCCCGCGGAAATGGGCGAACATAATCTTCTTAATCCCGGGTTTGTGGGACCTTTGGTAAACATCCACACCGGAGACACGTTTTACTTTCCGAATTTTAGAGCATCTGGGGGACAACTGGCGGGGCTACCGTCTCTTTCGTACCCGAGAAGGGACAATGTTTGCTCCCTTCCGTGGAATCCTTCGGAGCCGTGCAATGGATACTCTCAATCCTACTTTAGCAGCCCGGTTTCTATTAACCCCTCTTTCAATCGCTCTTGTGAAATTACCAGACCTGACGAGAGCAAGTGTTATTACAGCAACAGCAACGGAAGCAGGGAGACCTGCTCAGGTGGCAGCAGCCTCAAACGAGAGGACAGGGCGAGAGACACTTCATCCCTAACATCTGACCACGGGATGCACGCAGGAATTGGTACCGCCGCTCCCTTCTCAAAATACGAATACGGGAACGATCAGCTAACACAAGATCCACCATCCTGTCAGTCACTAGAGTCCGACTCCAGCTCTTCCCTGCTCAACGAGAGCAGCAAGCCTTCATCCAGCGACACACAGACCCTGGTGTCACCGGGAAGCCATTCAGGCAACATAGCCACAGGAGGAGGTGAGTACCGTCCGTGTTTATTTGTGCACGCCTGCATGCACTAGAATACATTAAATAGCACACGTCCTGCGTTTTGATTTCTATATGCTACTGCAACGGTCAATGGGGCTCGTTATGATGATAAGCTGCAGGACACCAGTGCACAAACGCCACTAGGGGTTGCCCTAAAATACTCCAAGTACCAGAATGATTACAGTTTTAGCCAGCGCTTGCAGAATAAACCACCCATACTGTTTTTTTTTTTCTTGAAATAATAACAACAGTGATTTTGCACTTCCACTTATGATATGCTTAAACAATCTTTCTATATTTCACATACTAGCGCCTGTGCAAGAGTGTAAGAAGGAGTTGTGCTAGCATGCATGATGTTTCTAATGGAGAGATTACTAACTTGTAAACCAAACTGATATGCTGCGGTGTATTCACCAGTGAAAAGTCTACAAAACAGTTTCAAACACGCAACTTTCATGTCACAATTGTATGTGACGCAATCATTTCCATACCACTATTCAAAACGCCAGAAATAAATGGGCATAAAAATCCGTTCCGGCCCTAAAGTGGCCATGCCTTTTCAGTCCACAAACATCAAAACATACACAGAGTTTGGAAGACTTAATCTATTCTTTTCGTAATAATAACATAATGATAACTTGTCTGGTAACCTTGAAGGTGACCGTGATTTTGAAACTGCAATTACCCTCTCCTCCTCTCCCCAAGGTGCTCCATGGTACCCGATGCACACTCGCACCAGGAAGAAACGCAAGCCCTATTCCAAGCTGCAACTGGCCGAGCTTGAAGGTGAATTTATGTTGAATGAGTTCATTACGAGACAGCGGCGAAGGGAGCTGTCTGACCGCCTGAACCTCAGCGACCAACAGGTCAAGATCTGGTTCCAGAACCGCAGGATGAAGAAAAAGAGACTCATGTTGAGAGAGCAAGCTTTGGCCTACTTTTAGAGATGCGGCAGAAGGTGAATCGATAGGCAGTAAAAACCCAAGCCTTCTCCCTTAGGTGATATTTCAATGCATGCACTCATCTATCCACATTTTACATTACAGTCACTTGTTACAACATTTTAAGTTTTTCTTTAATGTACAGATTCAGAATATAAGCCTATATCATGCATTTAAAGGCAGTGGAAGTATAACCGCCATAATGTAATGGCACAAACTGTGACACTGTGCAAAATTCAACTCCAGGTGCTTGACCAGTTGATACCACAGTGCATGACCTTTAACGCAGAGAATGTAAACAAAAACAATTCCACTACAGTAGCCTGTAGTGGAATTGTGTTTGTGTCTATATAGTATATGTTAATGGACGAACTGTAAAAGTGCGTCAGATAATTATTTATATAAACATGTTGAGTTTAATACTAGATATTTTCAGTATACCTCAAACGACAAAACAACTTAAACTTTTCTCCTGCACCTACACCTTTCATTAGTACTTTTAAAACAACACCAGTCAAAAAAAAAAAAAAAAAATTCGCAAACGTTCATGTTTTGGACGATTACAAAAAGCTGCTATCAATGGTCTGCGTTCAATTTGTGCTAGTTACAACCATGGTGCTCAGAGCAAATATAAATATGTACAAACAATACAAGATGTGTGCCAGGACATACTGTAAGTGTAACGTATCTGCAGCATGTTATCGATGTGAAAATGAAAACGTTTTTTATTCTTCTTCCTTTTTTAAGTATATTTAACCCAAACATTTAGATTTAATAGGCAACGCAGAATATAGGCCTGTTGTTATGTGTTACTATTAATAATAATTCGATTACTATTGTTATTATATCAATATTATTAATAATAGGCCTGATAATAATTGGCTCATAGGCCTTTTTCATTTGATCCTTGCATTGTGCTCAATGTCGTCCCTCTTATCTCATGTATCGTGTAAAAAGTAAGTGGCACATGTTACTGTTTGCATCCTGTTTAGGATTCCTTATCGCTGTGTCAAAGTGTTATTCGCCGTCTTGTACAATATCGCATTCCATAGGCTGCCTATGCGTTGTTGTAAGAGTTATAAGTAGGCAAAATTATCTTATACCGCTAAAATATTATTAAGAAGTGGTATTTAAATGTATCATTTATTACGAAATGAGAGCCTCGTTTGCGTGTTGTTGATGTTTTTTGTATGTATTGCATTCCCTTCTTTGCGCTTATGAGGATTGCAACATTGTCTTGTAAAAGTGTTATAAATATGAATGTATATGCGTAAGGTCTTCAATAAACCAATTATTGAATCACCCAATAGCTCAGCCTGCTATTTGTGAATATCAAGAACTCTATATGAACATGTTCCTTTTAAACCTTTCTGAGGCTTGGTGGCATAATCACTTAATGGGCGTGACATGTACAGTAACACGTGTCCAGGCAGTGTACTAAACTGAGCACAGAACATTTAAAACTCTCAACTGCAAGGATGTGACGGTCTTTTTGGACGTGGTGTAAAATATAATGCAACGGGCCCATAAGATGATCACAGTCTATGCCATCTCAAGAGCCTCTGTCTATAGCTTTACCTGGGTATTGATGATCATTTGGAAACTCTTAATTGGACCGCATGTTTTGGAAGTTTAATGTTGGCTGTATGCAATGCGAACACACTCATGTCACATTTGTTTCTTTAGCTGAGTCAAATCAATGTCAATACAAGCTAATAACGGCGAAAGTAGGCGCACAACAGCGCTGTAAAAAAGTAATACGGTTCCACCCCAATCATAACTGAGTCCTCACTTTGCATTATATAGCGCAAGCTTTTTGTTTTGTTTTATCAAAACCAGTTTAAATGTGTATTTTCAACACGTATATTAACCTAAGATACCTAAAAGCCACAAAGCTTCGGCTTCCTTTATTCAAAACTGGAATCTTGTCAACAGTAACACGAATTAATGAATTCACTGGACATTTTACTGAAATCTAATATTCCGTTATTGGTGAATACGCTCCTTCATTTTAATCTTGTCAATCTTTTTCTTTGTATACATACTATTCTTGGTATGTACATTATTTAAGTAACTGTTATTAATGCTCTACATAAGAAAATATAAACAATTACATGTACTTATTTTGCGTAAAATCGCTTCGCGGACTTTTGTGCACGTAAATAACATTATACTAATCTAAATATTTTGAAACAACTGAACTAATAATTCATGTAGAACTGTCCACAGTGCTGGAGAATTTGAACTAGCCTTCATGTTTCTTCAATAATGTTAGCCATATAGTCTATAGTCGTTAAACCAAAATAAATAACTAGGCCTAAATAAAATGAACAAATTAAACATTGAGTTTTTCCACTCCATGCTTTAATAGTGCCAATGCTCTCACGGCCGAAAACACTTGTGGAACACAGATCATGTTCGTACCAAAGCAAAACGTGTTAAAGGCGGTATTAGGTTGAACTCGGTTTAACAAGGTGTCCGTTTGGTGTTTGTGAGCTAGTAAATTAGTCAAACAATCTCTTAACTTGAACTTCAATTTTGGATGATGTGGTACAAAACAGGCACTTGCCTCTTACTGATAAAAGCCTATTATTTTTCTACGTTTTGTTCTTTACGCATAATAATATTGAACTTTATTTTATAGGTTTTGTCTTGTTGTTGTCCCACTGCCTGTGCATTTATTTCTGATGTATTTATATAGCTAGTTTCAATAAAATAATAATGATGATAATTGCAGTGATTGCACTGAAGTGCTTGATTGAGGAATTCGTCCTTACGTGCAAATACATTCAATGTTGCAGAACCAGGACAAAATATCTGCTTACTCTGCAGGTCTTTACAATTGGTCTTTGAATGCTCCTGGGCACTTTTGACTTTGAGACTGGCTAAATCTGTTTATGGCGTCCTGTCTCCGCGACGCAGAGGTCAGTGAGCTTCACGGTGCCCTTCGCAGAGAACTTGTGTGGTATGTTGTCTAGCACCCCCGCCACCCTCTACCGTTTATGGTACGAAGCTGGTTGGAGAAATAGGAAGCGGTGTTATTTCTGTTAAAGTGTGTGGGGGTGAGTGTGCTGTGTGTTTGAATAGACCCTTGCGTGTATATGGCACATCTTTGCAAGGGAGTCCGGGGAGTTTATTTGTGTTTTGAAGCAGCGTTAATTCGATGGAGTAAAGTGTGAAACTTGATAAAACATATAGCATGCGTGATAGTGTCAACTATCTCTTACCGAATGGACTTACTGATTTTGAGATTATTTAAAATGAGTTTTTCAAGTACTATATTTTGTGATGATAATTTTACCCCATGTTTTTAATACTGAACCATTTAAGACGAGCTTGAAGTATTTCACTGGTCTGTAGAAAGAGATAAAATGAAAAGAAATAACCAGGAGTGTCATGTTGATGTCTATTTTTAGATTTTGCTATTTGTAAAGAATTTGTAAGTGAATTTTCAACTGATTGTTCAGGACACACACCCCTGATCACACATGCTAACAAAATAAGCTTGATTAAAAAAAAAAAAAAAAAAAAAAAAAAAAAAAAAAGAAAAAGTAGCGGATATCACTTAACTGAAAGGCAAATGCTTTAGTGCTGCCTTGAATTATGAAATGTCCCCTTTCCGAAAGTTTTTGGAATTAAAATTGATGTCTTTTTGGTATCTTTTGTTGACATTCTTCGCGTGCAAGCTCAAATAGGCAAATATATGTTGAAACAGATATTCTGGAAATGTTAATAATTGATTTTATTACCATCAAGCATCTCAACGGCGCCCATTTGTGGTTGGTAACCATTGCATAGTACATTAAATATAAAAAACACATAAAAAGCTTGCCAGTTTGAGGTTCCCACATACAATGCTGTTATTTTAGTTATTTTAATAAAAATAAAACCGTATATTCATGCATAGATTCGTTCTTAATTAAGTCAAATCGTAATTACCTGCGTAATTGTGCTATATGTGTAGGCCTATATATTTTCAGTATAACTAAATATGCATTAAATTGTGTCCGTTGCGCCTAAAGTATATATTTTTAAATATATCTCAGCATTTGTCAGGCCGTAGCCCCGCGTCCTATGTACCTTAAAACAATAATATAAACCGTTCTGCGAACCCTATAACCACAACCTGAGATCATTTAAAATTTGTTTGGAGATAGTTGCACTTAACTGTTAATAGTGGTTGCCCAGAGAGCTTCCAGATTTTCCTGGGGCATCTTAACAATGGATCCACATCCAGGCACCATATCTGATTCCTGGTGATGTGAAATCATTTAATACCTCAAATAAAAAGTTAACACAGTGTAGTGAAAGCTTTATGTCCTCTTGGTTGCAAGAGAAATACACTCTGGAGATTGACCTAAATGTAACAGTACACGTTCTTAACTTGTAAAATATTGTTGTCTATGTTTCACGCAGTGTATTCACTAAACTAAACTTAAAAAAACAAAAACAAAAACAAAACAAAACAAAACAAAACAGCTCCCACAGCTACGTTTAACTACCCGTCTTACATCCAATTAAAAGTACGCCAAAAGAGGACAATAATATGGTCACAGAGGCTTCCCATTCCGAGTTGACTTCAGCTGCGTATGGGTCTTGTAAGCCTACCCTGACAGAGCCCAGTGTGCGCGCGCACACATGTGGATGTGTCTCCGCGCTTATGGGAATGCAGCGAGGCGGTATGTCAAATACACTGACCAACACCGTGCACCGTTTTAATTAGATTTCTTCGGTGCTGATACTGCTCAACAACAGCAGTTCTGGAAGAAGGTAGCAGCCTACAAAAAGGCGTTTAGGCTACAAAGCGTAAATTCCACAAACACACGTTTATAGTGAAATATAGGCTTTGTTCAAGAACACAAAAAGGAAGACGTCTTACAGCTAACTCACAATTAGCTCTCCCAAAAATCTGATACATTTGCTTGTGTTAATATAGCATATTTATCTTCCAAACATTTTATGCCATGTGTTCTAAACATTTTAAACACATTTTTGAGCTACATCTGCATCAACTTGGTCGGGTTGTTGCGCGCCTCTGATCTTCTGGGTCCTACTGCCTGTGGACTATCATTCCTCTATGGAAATAGAAAAAAAAGACACACACACACACAAACACACACGGTAATCTCTGGTCGAAAGACACAACTTTCTTGTTGTTAATCTCACGGATGGTCAATATAATTGTGTACTTTGCTACAGCACAGGCCTGTCACAAACCACAAAAGCACTGTTTATGCTTTCCTTCGGTTGAAAGCTATTTTCAATGCAAAACATATAGGCATATGGCAAAAGAACTCCAGCACCGTCTTCAAAAAAATAATAGGCCTTACATGTAAACAGAATTTAGAAACGTTTATTTGTAAAGACATGTAGACTCGATATTGTATAACTTCTCTGATTTCGCAATAAAACACACATCTATGTTCTTGAAAATGGGCCATAACATGCTGATACAGTGTCACGCTTAATTAAATATAAGCTACAAGTTCACGGCATAACACGTCTGGTGCTTGTGCATGTGCTCATAGCCACAAAACAGTAGGCCTGTATTTATGTATAGTCCACTGTTTAGATGCGGTTGTATGTTCACAAAAAATAGAACATAGTAAAAATACATCTGGAGTTGTAATATTTAATTACACACGCGCAGGCGCTAGTGTCACTGTAACACTATGTACTATGAACAAATATTGGAACGGCAGGCCTATCGTTTTCTCTCTCAATGTATCTCCTAATGCAACATAAAATAATTATTTAAAAAGTACAAATTGATTTTCCTCCACACCGCAATTGCTTCTACACAGAACACCTCGTTAGAAAAAAAAAAAAAATTCCTTTCATTCTCTAGTTTACGGTTTTCTATAGAACAAAGGAATTTGGCGTTACTACTGCCATTGGGAGTTTTATGGTGGATGTAGAGAAGATTTTAGTGGTCAAATTCAAGTGCTGTGTCTGGACAGCTGTCTGCTTTCTTTGTACTTGGATGCAGGATGCATCATGTGAGTCAACCTTTTGTCTATAGGGGCAGTAAACTGTAAACGCCACCTTTTAAAGCCAGGAATTAATTTTGTCAAGGCGCACCGTTTTTGTAATTATCTGAATTACCAAAAGAATAATATCTCTTCAGTTTGCTAATAAAATGCAAATACAAGCACCTCCTTTTTGTTGTCATCGG